TTGCTGCCATGCATTACTAAAAGCTGCCACCCTTTTCATAATTTAGGTTACTCTTGATATTATTTACTTCTGCAGTGTTCTAATGATCTTTTTTAGATTAAATAAAAATAAGCAAATAAATTAAAAAAATATATCATAAATCTATGCAAACTTAATGCTTTCTTTATTTGGTAGTGACGATGAACTTGTATGAAGATTTAAAAGTATTTTTATGTTATTCAAGATATGCTAATAAGTGTCTGAAGAACAAGGATTAAAGCATTAAAAGTTATTCGATACATAATAATATAACACATTTTGAGAATGATGTTCGCTTAAAAAAAATATTTTTATTTTAAAATTCTTTACATGTATCTCAATGATATTCCTTTCAATATTTTTTATAAGAACCTTCTAAATATTTTTTTAATTAATTATTAATATAAGATCTTCTATAAAGTTTTGCAAGTATTTTTTTTTTTTTTTTATTCTTCATTATTAAACGTTTTAACATTTAATAATTAATATAAGAATAATTGAAGAAAGTATTCGTTAATTGGCAATTTATTGATAATTAATAGTGAATACAGCAAAAAGTGCTAATTTTTTTTTAAAAAAAAAAAAGTGTTACTCTATTTATTTTATTTTATTTTTGGTTAAGTGTTGCTATATACGAATGGTTGTAGACAGTTCACGGATCAAAATGAAGCAATTTATAATTAAGGGGGTTTTACTAACGTTTTATTTAAAAGTTAATTTTAAAGAGAAGGAGGGAAGGAAAAGAAAAGGAAAGAGAAAGGTTTATACGATAAGTATCTTTATTTAAAAAATTTTAGATGAGAGAGGAAGGGTTTATAAATTTTTCAAATCTTCTTAATCTTATATTTTTTTTAAAAAAAATTCAATCAAGTAGTTTTATATTACACTTCTTTCATTATGTTACTTCCGTTCTAATAAATCACTAATGGTAGAAGTTAAAAAAAGATAAAACTTAAGTTATTATTTTTTAATTAAAATTAAAGTTTTATTTCATTAATTTAATGCAATAAAAATTAACTTTAAAATTTGATATATGTATCAACCTTAAATTTTATTTTTTTAAAATTAACATAAAAAATGCATAAGATACCATACTTGTGTATCTTATGCTTTTTCAAAGAAATTAAATTTTTCTTTTGAGAAAATTAGTGGAGTTTAAATATAATTTCTTTAATTAAATAGGTGAAGCTTAAATAATTTTCTTCTTTTCTATAAATCAAACCTAAAGTTTTAGTGATCCACATAGTTAAACGTGTTTATATTTGTAGTGACTAACTAGGTAATCCATTATTTTTTATGTTTTGGGTCTACACGTTAAATAATGCTATCACGTTCACAAATTCGACTTTGGGCCCAACTTATTTTGGGCCACAATAATTGAACTTTTGTTAAGAGGCTCATTATTATGAGCAAGAAAGGAAGTGATGGGAATGAGATCATGCATGTCATGCCCACACAACATTTAGCCATAACTAAGTAATCAAAATCTCTTTTGACTCAATAAGTTGTTGCCTTGCTCTTGTCCCTTTTAGTATTTCATATTATTGGCATGGATGATTCTTCACATTGTATCATTTCCAAAGAAAAGGGGGTACTTTTTTATTTGCTATGGTTAAGAAGCTATTTCATGATTAATTCAATTGTGACATTAATCTCAAAAGCCATTCAGCATGTTTCATGTGGACCAACTCAGTGTATTCTCTCATTCAATTCCTTTCCTTCAATTATTAGTGTCTTTCTCTGCTTTGATAGCATTTCCCCTTATGGGGTGTTTGTCATCCTTTTAATAAAATGGCTTTATGTCTTTTTGCTTTATTCTATTTTTTCTATCATAGAAAAGAGCAAGTCACTATCTCCAGTCTCCATGCTATTTCTTTATAGCTTTCAACGTTACCTTCAATTGTATGTTCTATAGTGCAAGGCCTATTCTTGCTACCCTTTTTTGTATTTTTCTACTTTCCTCAAAGCTTCAACCCAAACCCATTTTTTATGTCTTGTTATAAACGGTACTTAAACTTAGCAACTAACAACACTTTTGCTAGACCCGCTTTATTTTGTCAAAACAATCTTTTAAATGCAAGAAATGTTGGTAACAAATTTTTTAATGCATTCTTTTAAATACATTATTATTATTATTATTAGTTAAAATTTCATGGTTATATAATAAAGGAGTTGGAATCTATGAACACAATGTTTCCCACAAGAGAACAAGAAGATGAAGACAAATGGGTGTTAGAGTTGGAATCTTCTAAAAGACAACCCTGGAGCTTCATCAACAACCAGTGAATTATTATTGTTATTATTATTATTATCATTATGTATATTTTGCTGGACTTCACAAACGGACGCTAACACCTTTGTACGATTCGCTTAGAATCTGACAATTTAAAATAGGGGACGAGACCTAACGTATTGTAAAGGACAGTAAAATCTGCAAAGGACATGCATTGCACTATCATGATCTTATCTTTTACCGTGCTATGCTTATCACTAGCTTTTGTTTTTCTTTTTAATTTTCCTATGAAGATAATATACTCATTTTACTCTGACACTACTTTATGCACAAAGTTCAAATGTGAATGAATTAGACTCCATGTGATGGGAAATTGACTTTATCTTGATGAGAATAAAACTTTTTTTTATGTTTATATTATAAAATTTTGAAGCCTCAAGAATCTGGGAGAAGCTCGTTAGAAGATTAAGAAAACTTTAGTTGAACCGATGACTAATGAAATATAAAGGACAAATGACTAAAGGTTTTCTTTCAAGTTTTGATTTTTTTAAATAACGTGTATATAAAAAGTTCTGGGTATGTGATTTTTTTTATTATTTTGATTGTTTTCTATTGAGTTCTCTATTAGCAAAAACATTTCATCCTAAAGTGAATATAAGCATGAAATGAAATGCGTTGAATTGTGTTTGTCGGATGGAGCTATCATGAGGCGTGGCTTCTCAAAAATAAAATTTGAAGTTGTATTTTACTCTTTCGCTGTCATGATGAAATAGTGACAGATACTTGAACCAGAACATCCTCTTACACAATTGGAAACAGGTAGTTGAATAAGAAGATTCTTATAAAATTAGATATATGAATTTATATTATACTATTATTTTATTATTGAATGAATGGTTTTCACTTAACTAAATGAAAGAAAATAAAAAGGTCTTAAAATTTTGAAAATCAAATAGAACAAGATCATAGTTGAATGGCCATTACTTAATAAGAAGCAAATAAGTTCAATACTGAAGCAGCAGTCATCATGCTAACTCAAACCTCCAATACATACAAAAGTTTAGTACATAATTAAACAAATAAACTAAGGGAAAACATTTTTACCCAGACAAGTTACTGTATTTGCTGACTCAAAACACTCGTTAAAACTCCTCAAATGAAAATATTATCCTCAAAAAGGTCTAAGCTTTTAACATTAGTTTAAAAATACATTTGTAACTTTATCGTTTTCCTTCTGCTTGAAGATATTCGATGACCCCACCACAGCTCAACTTTCTTTTATTTTTTTCACCTAGGAATTCGACTACGAATATCGTACAATTCGATGGGGCCATCATTTTTACCTTCAATGCCCTAATCATTTGCATTTTTCAAAAGTTATTAACAATATTTTAGACTCAAAAGGTGAAAAAGAGAGAAGCAGAATGAAGAATGATCCCTATACCTACTTTTCCATAACAGTCACCATTAATCACTGTCCTCTTTTTTATTTTTTTTCCTGTTTTGCTTTTGATTCTATCTCTCCTTCTCCTCCTCCCATTAACAGCTGTCATGATCATATATCATTTTTGTTTCTAAAAATTATGTAAAAGTGCCATTTTTAAAAAGAAATTTATTCTGGCAGTTTAATAAGAAAAATATTATGCATAATAAAGTTGAAGCAACACAAGTTATTTTCTTTATAAATTTATGAAAGATAAACATAAATATCTATAATGTTACACATGATATGAATTATTTAATGCTTTAATAATGTTATTATTAATATAATAATAAATGTACACTTTATTTTATCTGTAGAGAAAAGTTAATTAGCTCTTCATAAGTTGTACTCCCCAACTTTCCCATCTAATGCAATTCCACATGTTTTGCAGATGGGTCTTCTTTCCTTTAATTTGATTACTCCATGCAAGTCTACCACAGCTTTTCTTCTCCAGAATATAATGCTAAATTGTTTTATTTTTGTTTTTAGTTTATTTAATTATACTGAAACTACTTGAGTAATGCTTGAGTCAAATTATCAGAAATTCAGAATAGAAGCTCTGATAAATGATAATAGTTGATGATATTCGGAATTATAATTATCTATTTTCTTCTTTTCGTTAAAAGAGAAGCATGTCACTGAGCAATATTGAGCAATGCTTATCTTACTTTATATAAGTATTGTGGATTAAGAGACAAGAATCAATATCAGATTTCGGTTATTTATATAATAAATTGGGTTTATTTTTGTAACAACCAAATAAAAGGGGGAAGAATATGGACTAAACAAATAGTATGTGGCAATCTCCTACAAACTTTGGCTATCTTTTTCATTCAAAGTTACTTTGTGATATTCTCCATTTGGGCTTGACAATTTGGCTTGTGTTTGAGATTGAGATGGCCTACCACTATTAAAGCAAGGTAGGCAGAATTGACCGAGCACTTGAATATGTCTCAAGCACAATAGACTACAACCTTCTCCACCCTGACCCCAGAGGAAAAAAAAAGACAAAGAGAAAAAGAGAGAACGATCAAAAATAGCTAGCTACAAAGACACATGTAAGAAGGAATAAACCAAAAAACTTCCTCCAAAGAGCCCCACATCAAGGCACTAGCTACCAGTAGATTAACAAAGGATGAACAGCCGTTGCAATAATTTGGTACAACTTGGAAACAAAAAAGGAAGAAAAGCGAAATATCCATCATCGTCAATAAGGTCTTGATCATGTTATGAAAAAATTTGGCCAACATAGTTCAAGTTTTTATCTTAATTCAACATTGACTCTTGTTGAATCCTATCCAGCATTTGGTATACAGCTGCAGCTATCTCATCCACTGATCCTAGCTTGCAATCATCTTCTACCTGCAAGAAAACTTTCAATAACACAATGCTTACAAAGACATACAAACAGTGGAAATTAAAAGAAGCCCAAGTGGGGCTAGCTAACACAAACCTTAACACTGAGAGAATAGAGAACAATATCCCCAGTGGTAGTAACATTTAAGTGCAAGATGGTAAGACGCATGCCATGCAAACTAGTGACCATTTTCAAGAGCTGCTTTGGCCGTTTCTTGGATCTTATTTTGAGATTTGCATGACTCTCTACCATCGTCACTTCTATATCAGCAATGCCAGACTGAACCTCACCACCCAGTTGCTCACCAGTGGCCGCAGAATTATCACAGCCACCACTACCACATGTTGAATACTGTGGAAAGGTGAAGAACTCAGAAAAGGGCTTATCAGATTTAATCTCTTTTTCTTTCTGAGCACCTAGAAATTGCAGCCTATGCTCAAGCTCCTTAACAAAGTTAATAGCCCCTCCAATAATAGATGCTTGATCACCCTGCATTCCTCAATTAATTAAAATACAAACAATTAAACCATTTCAAGAAGGAAAAATAAAGCAAATTAATACCAAAGTTTGGGTAATATATTAATAATATTTTTTTAAAAGTATTTAAATCACTGATATTTTAAAATGTGCAAAATAACTAGCTAATTTCTCATGGATTAGCTAATTTCTAACTAATTAGTAAAGGATTAATTATAAAAGGGCATTTCTACACATCTTAAAAAGATTAAAGATTGAAATACTTGTTTTTAAACTTCATCATGAAAAAATGAAAATTTCCCATTCCAAAAACTGAAAAGCAGAAGCATGTATAAATTAAGCATGTTTTGGCGGAACAAATGGGTGATTGAAGTACCCTTTGGACGTAAGATTCAGGCATTAGAGAGCGAAGAACTGAGAGATACTCATTCATTTGCTTCCTTCTGTTGCGCTCAACAGCAATGTGAGTCATTCTCTGGTTCTCAATCTCTTCCTTATTCTTTCTGCTTTTGGCTCTGCGCCTCTTGGGACGAGGAGGTGTGGAAGTTGAGCTATCTAAGTTCTGTGTGTTGCTGGTCTCTGAAGATGGATTTGAATTTGACACATTGATGTGAGGCAACATTGGTGGAGGAGAACAATTCCAATCTCCATAAGGGTAATTTTCTGTTTGGTTCTCAAGAAAACTGACACAACCTTGTTCTTCTTTTTCAAGGTTGAAGTCACCATAGTCCCAGTTTCCACCACCACCTTCTAACAAGTTGTAGTTGTAGAGGTCTTTGATTCCATAACCAAATGGGTCTTGTGGTTGTGGATACACTACTGCTTCTAGTGCCATGGCTCTCTCTCCCTCAGGCAAACACATACGCAATGTTTTTATGTGGATACCCTTTAAAGCAGTTGATGATGAAGATGAAGATGAAAAAACCAAAGTTCCATGCTCTTGATGAGTATTTTATTTGAGCTTTTAAAGGCCTTGAGGTGAAGGAAAAGATACAAAGTGGACAGTGCTTTGCACGTGATATAGAGTAGAACGTATATATAAAGTTTTTTATATATACAAAACAAAAGAAGAAATTGAGGGAGAATCAGAATGAGAGAAGGACGAAAGGATTTGCTTGCAAAACCACTGTGTCATGTCTTGATTTATATGAAAAAAGATGTTACGAAATAAGTATTATGAGTTCCCCTCCACTCAAAAAGAAAAATGTTATTGTATGCATGCATGAACTTTAATATCAAAATACAACTTATCCATATATGTTGCCTGAAAAAAAATCTACAATACAAATTATTTGTTAGAAACTTTCTTAAAAGTTTGATACACGAGAATTATTTTATATTTTTATCACACTTTTATGCACCAAATACTCATTGGCTTTGAAATAAACAACTCACTACTTCGCCCCATACCTTAATTATAGAAACTCGCCCTACCTTGTAGGAACATTCAACTTTACACCCATTATTGCAAGACATTGGATCACTCACTACACGTTGAAAAGAGTTTATACACAACAAACCACTCACCAATGGTGATCAAAGCCGTCGAATCATCCATTCTTTGTAGAGAAAGTTTACTTTTAATCATATTTTTATAATCTTTTATATATTTATAAGAGAAATAAAAAGAGAATAGAGAAAATATAAATAAAATAGACAATGTTATTAAAATATATATATATATATATATATGTAATAGAAATGTTTTTATATATTGGTTTGGGTATTAAGTATATATATATATTTTTTTGTGTAAAAAAAATATAATAAGAACATATGTATTATAATTTTTTTAGAGTTCATAGAATATCATTAAATTTAATGTGTTAATAAAATTAAATACTATTATTTTTAATAAAAATTTGTTAAATATTATTTTTTATTGTGTGCCTTTAAACACACATTAAAAATATTAAATATAAAATTATTCTTTAAAAAATATACATAAAATTATTATTTTAATTTGTCTATCCAATTAATTATTCTGTCTCCACTAAGAATATTTTTATAAAAAATAATTAATGTCAGAAAATCTTATAAAAAAAAACCGCAATTAACACCCTAAAAATATCTTATGTTTAGAACCAGTGTACAGAAACAGTGATTTGGTACGAGAAATAGGAAAAAGAAAGAAGGGGAGATATTTAACAAAAGCTACACTCATCTGATCAGCGAAGAGATTCTGCAGTTCAGAGAGAAGTAGCAGGACAAGTTATCACTGTTTACGTATTGTTTTTCTCTTTGCACACTTAAATTTTGGGTAGACAATTAGTAGTTAAGCTACAAATTTCCTACCAAAAAAGAAAAGTAGTTAATGAATTAAACTATTTGTATCCCAAAGGATTGAGGGGGTGAAAATGATGTTCCTCACGAGTCACACGATTTCATAAAACAATTGGTTCTACGGAGTTAGATTGAATAGTAACATTATTGAAATAATCAAGGTATTGTGTGGTAGCATGGTGTTCATTGTTATACTTTCCTAATACGCCAAAACCAAATTTCCATTTCCTTAATAAAAATGAGTAGATATGTAGTGTCATATGAAATCAGAACCCACCCCTAGCAATTAGAATAAGCTACGTGTATTCATTAGCGTTTAGAATCCTATCATGAAATATAGAAAAATGTTCACAAGAACACCGCGTAACACAGGGCATTGACTCTCTAACAGTATAGCGCCACAGATAATATTTTATGCCAAAATCATAAATAAATTAAAGAGAGAATCTACTTAAATTATAATATTTTTTTACCACTTTTTTTTAAAAAAACGAACTAGTTTTAAAAGAAATAAAGAAAAAAAAAAACGAAACATAACTGAAACTACTATAAGTTATAAGCTCAGAAAATGACATAAAATTAAGTCCGACAGATGTGTTTTACTGAACTATAATCGGTGCAATATTAATGTGAAATTGTTTACTCTTATCTTACTATCCATAATAATTAAACCCTAAAAATATTATGCATATAAGTATAAATTTCATTTAAAAAATCATTTATTAATGTTTAGTCGTTTGATTTGCTCCTACTGTTATAAATTCAATAACTCACCGTTAATAAATAGATTTTTTTTAGTGTTTTAATAACAATAACATTAAAAGTATGGTTAAAAATGAAAATATTTACTATATTTTAAATTATTTTTCTTTTATTTAATATTTCTATTTTAAGTTAAAATTATTAAATATTTTATACATTATTTATTTTAGTAATTTGCATAATAAATATCAATTATAACTCAAATTTTAACAGACGAATAACACCAAAAATACTTGCAAAAACTACACTTAAATATAGTTGTTCTTAGCACAGGTTACAGCCCACAAAACCGAAGAAAAGGGAAGCGCGTTAGATGAACGAGCGTTCTGAGCCTGTAGCTTAGGGAGCGTGAGGACTAGTGTCATGGAAGAACGTGAAGGAGTTGAAAGACAAAAAGAGAAAGGGCTTCGTCATTTGGTAATAACACGGTCGGAAGTACAAATGAGAAAATGCAAAAAAGAAAAGAAAAGCTGACGCAGTCAGAGATTCTTGCAAAGCTGAGAGAAAAAAGTTTAAGAACTTTGTCGATAGAGAGAGGAACACACTGCACACTTCCATCGTCAGAGAATCCATGTGCTTCAATACTACATCACCTTCCAAAATAAATACCAAACCAAAAACCATTCTCTAATCACATTAATTCAAGCTTTTTGAAGTAATTATTCATGTTATACATTTAATAATCAAATTTATTAAAATAAACTAAAAACCCAACATGCACTATGATTAGTTGTACTACGCGACAATGTTATTGATTAAGTATCCTTCATTAAGAAAATTGTTAGACCCAACTGGCACCCCATTGAAGAATCACAAACATTGTTACATAGTATATACCTTGTACAGAAGTGTTACAGTTAAGAACTGATTTCATTTGATTAACTAAAAAATAGCCCCATATAATGACGATTAATTACCATTACGTACACCAATAATTTAACATTATGTGTGCATAAGCATCTTGTCAGATGTCCATCATTATGATTATATTGATAATGCAATCGAGATGCTTCTAACAAAGGGTGCTGTAGCAAACAAGAAATTACGCAACCCTTGTCGTCTTCGTCGGCATTTTAGTGGGGACCTTTTCATTACTTTTAAATTTATGGTTGAATTATTAATTGCTATTAATTAGTGGATATATATAATTAATAGTCGTTAATTAGAACGCGTGCATTATCCATAATGTTTTCATGCATGAAAACAAAAAAAGATAAGCATATATTATATGCAACGAATACATACATGTGTACTTTTGATCTTTTAGGCCTTTTTAAGGATAAAATTTGTCAGATTTTGATTTTTTATTTTAATCGTACAATTATAGTTTCTTTTTTCAAATGCAACAATTTAATCCTCTTGTATATACATTTAAATTTTGGTCTTTCTAGAATATTTTCATCTAAAATTTAACAGCATGTGATGATGTTAATAACTTCTATCTAAGTTAGCAAATAATATGTGGGTTCTTTACATACAATTCAATTAAAATTATGAAAAAAAAAATGTTACATACAATTCATACGAAGTTTAGTTCTATTAGAGATTTAATTGAGTGTTCAATAAATACACAAGCCCACTCACGTATACACACTGAATTATTTTTAGATGTGAAATTACACAATAAAAAAAATGTAACGTGAAGATAAGATTAATGTGTTAACTTAATGCTTTATTTGAGTATCGTATTGATTCTAAATTTCTAATAAGCTACTGCTACGAAACTCAGAAAGAAATAAATATTATATACACGTTTGCTATGATTTTTTCATATTACTAAATAAAACAACCCGTGACAATACAAATTACTGTAATCTAGACAATATAATTTACTGTATAAGAATCAATTTTGCACTATTAAAATTGATTTTGAATTGTTCGTAATCTAAACCAAACACACATAATGATTAGTATATCTATTTTGAACTAAAAAAACATCTTTTGTTTTTGCTACTGTTGTATTAAAAGTCCTATATAGCTGTCATATTGGGGAAGGTAATGACTATTAAAAATCTAAAATAATTATAAAAAAAAACAATGGAAACGGTGGCACTATAGTTGAATCGTCGTAAGTGTATATATATAAATTATACATTAATTTGGGATTTAAACTCCACAAGATCTGATTTCGGAAAAGTTTTCCTCCATACTACACCCAAAAAAAGTTATTTATCACATACAAAATTTGCCAATTTATTAAGTATTAGAATAACATCAGTTATTATATTTTTTTGACTAATAAAAAAATTATTTATTCAAATTAAAAAACTGTATACTAATAAATTATACATCATACTAATATTTGATATATCAATAAATCATTTAGTAAAAAAATTATCATAATGTTTATATATAGTAATAGTTTTTTTTATTAGAAAAAATATTAATATTAATAGAAGCTAATCTAACACTAAATTGTTAACAAATGATATTTTTGCAGTGCGATAATCTTTAACCTCTATTCCTAATTAGTGAGTTGCAACTGTTGTGATATTTAATAATATTTTATTTTACAATTTATGTTTGTGTAGGGTGATTTGGTGCAAATGAAGCTTGATACATGGAAATGTTAAAAATGATAGAAAAGAAGAGAAGATGCTAATCTGGAGAGTGACGAAGAGATAATGAGTAGGTAAAGCCACACAAAATTACAATCATAATTAATTAAAAGTGGACGTGGTTAGGGCTATGACATTTTTAGACTTTAGGACGGCCAATTCATCTTAGAACCAAAGACTATATTACAATAGTCAACCCATAATAATCAACCAAGAATGGTCTACTTTACCACATTAACTATTTTTAAATACTTTTTCA